GGGAAGTGTGGTGTATATGGGCAGTGGGGGTATGGGGGTGTCTATATAGCACACCCACACAGACATGAGGGTGACTCACAGTGCCTTTGGGACAAGACTGCTTCCCAGTCTCTCGGGCACTCAAAAGGTCTACTCAGGGAACTGTGTTCCTGGCTCCCTAACGAAACTGTCAAGGGTGGAGTAAGCAGGGCCTTAATTGTGTATCCTGTCCAGAGAGCAGGCTCTTATAGGAAGCACAGTGTCAGTTTCAGCCAGCAAGCCCTCAGGTCCCCTGCCAGGAAAATCCTACACTTGGCCCAGGTGCTGAGGACCTGTGGGCTCAGGTGGACACGGGGCTGGGGGTTCCTTGCTTGTTGTTGGTCGACGTGAAAAAGACCATCCAAAGACTGAACGGAGCCTGAGGAGCAGCTCGAGGCTGGAGGGAGGAGCCAGTCACAGAGGTGGCCGCACGCCCTGGTGCACAGGGGACGTACTGGGGTGTGAGAGTGTGGACCTGGGGGAGGGGGGCAGTTCTGAGTAAGATGTCATGTACAGAACCCTCAGGGCCAGGAGGTGGGGGCCTACCATCTGCCTTAACCCTCAACTCCCCAGTGGGTTGCCCAGGTTCAGGCAGCAAGTATCTGGCAGAACGATTTGCCAGCAGAGGGCAGCTGAGGGGTTAACTCCAGAAATCACAACTGTGGGAAGAGGAGGGGAGCCTGGGTTTGGAGCAATTATCTATTGGCAGCAGCTCCGGTGCTGGAGGCTCCCTCCAAGTCACCTGCACCCTGAGAGCCAGGCACAGGATCTTCCCGCCTACCCTCTCCTGGGAGATGGTGACTTAGGGGCTCGCAGCAGGCCTGGGCATCCCTAAACTTCCCCAGCACCCTCAGTCAGAAAACCCGAATTAAAAAATAAAAAAAAGGACCAACATGGAGAACAGCTTTGATGATGTTTCTTGCCTCTCTCCCCAGAACCTGGGATCCTCATCACCAGGCAAGAAGCAGAGCAAGGACAGCATCATCACGGTAAGTGGCTCTGAGGATGCTCACGGGTCGGGCAGCATCCTGGGGCACGCAGCAGCAGGTGGCGGCGGGGCTGTTGCCATGGTGATGTGGACCACAGAGCCTGAGCCCAGCCTGGAAGTTCCAGAGCTCCGGTTTTACTGGAGTCCTTTCCTGTCTCTCGTTTCACTTCTCCTCAACTCTACCTCCCCCACCCGGGGGTGCGGGTGGAGGCTGAGGCTGGGAGGATGGAAGCTGGCATACTGCAGAAGCCATCTTCCGGGGCGGGAGGGGAAGGTACTCCTGTGAGAGTGGGCTGGAGGGGGTGGATTCTGCTCTGCGCAAGGGATGTGACATGCAAATTACAGCAGACAGGGCTGCTTTCCTGCCGGGGAACTTTTGGAAGATGGCAAAGTCAGAAATAGCAGAAGTGCCCTAAGAATAGAGTTCCTGGGAGGTCCTGAGCCAGACCGGCAGCTTCGGCCTGGAGTGGCCAACCTGCCTCCCCGGTCTATTCTAGAAGCCCGCCAAACCCAGAGGGGCGGAGTCAGAGAGCTTTCAGAGTCGGAGCAGGCTCCTCCCCACCGAAGCCCCGTGCTCAGGGGAGAGTGAGGGGTGTGGATGAGTTGGGAGCTGGGCTGCAGTGACCCTCCGCTGCAGGAAAAGAGCCAAACAGGTGTTCAAACAGCCAAGGGCTTGGGCCTTGAGAATTGTGTTTTGATCCCCATGTTGAGGAGCTCCGAGCTCCCTGGATGGCATGTGCTCTTAACAGCTCAGCCTTTAAATGAAATGTTGGGGGTTCCTTGGGGAAAAGAGCTGGCTAATAAAATGATTTTTTTAAATAATAATAAAATAAAGTACTGTTTAAGAGGATACAAAACACCCAGGAATAAGCTCTGTATTCAAATAGGAAAAATTCAATTGATTCATGTAAAAGAATCATGCATGTGATGATATTGATATAATATGATACTATGGGTAATAAATAGTAATGGAGTATTAATACATGCTGTAAGACAAAGGAAAAAAAAAGATCTGGCAATCCACTTTGGACAAAGTAGTCGCGAAAGTCCTCTGGCCCCAGCTCCCACTACTGACGGCCCTGAAAGGGATGGCAGCAGGTGGTCCTAGAGAGAGTGAGAGAAAATGTGGGGAAAATTGAAACATCATGAAAGAGACCAACCAAGCTGGCTTACTGGTCTGATAGAGGCTGGTGGAACCCTGGAGGCCGTGGTCCATCGTCACCCTTCAGACCTGGAACTGAATACACACACACACTCACACACTCACACACTCACACTGCTCAACTTTCAAGTGGACAAAAATGCCAAGGAGGTATATGCTCCTTAAAACAACCAGCCTTATGAGAGCAAAAGGGCAGCATTTGCCCAGAGAATAAAGCTGGGGGGGTGAGGGTGTAGGGAGCAGGGTTAAGAAGTAAGAATGAAGGACAGACAACCCCGGGCAACGCAGAGAGGAGGTGGGGTAAGCAGTGTCCCATCGTGGAGACGGAAAGCAATGTCACAAGACAACCCGTATATGAAGTGTTGAATGGAAACCAGCTTTTTCTGTAAATTCACCCGAATCACAAGAATTTTTTCAAAGGCCTCTGGACCACAGTTCTCCTGTGCCTCACGTGGGCTCCCCATATGTTGGACCTGACTCCCTGACAGCAGTGCAGGGTTGCGGGGCGTGAGTAGCCTGTCAGAATGCTGAGCCGTACCGAGCACCCCCAGAGAGGCCATACCTAAGAGGGTTACCCTCTCTTTCTTCACACAGCCTCTAGCGCCTGCTTTGGAAGGAAAAGAAGCTCAGGCAAGGAGCAGCCACAATAATAAAAGTTGCCTGCCATGATACAGAGGAGCCCTGGTGGCACAGTGGTTATGCATTGGGCTGCCAGCCACAAGGCTAGCAGTTCGAAACCACCAGCCACTCTACAGGAGAAATACGAGCCTCTCTATCCCCCTGAAAGAGTTAACAGCCCCCAGGAATCCCCAGGGGCAGTTCTAGTCTGTCCTGTAAGGTTGCTGTGAGTCAGAACTGCCTGGAGGCCAGCGAGTAATAGCCACAATGCACAAGTTAGTGTTCCTAGTGGTTCCGAGTTACAGAAGCAATATAGCATACCAAATATACCATACCATATAGCATATACCATACCAAATATGCCAGACCAATACAGCATACCAGATAGCCAACGCCACTAGTAGTGACCCTGCAGGACTGAGTAGACCTGTTCCCCAGGGTTTCTGAGACTGTACTTCTGTGTGACCGCAGACAGCCTCCTCTTTCCTCCCACGGAGTGACTGGCGAGTTTGAATCACTGACCTTCGGGGTCAGCAGGCCAGCACACGTACCCAGTTCAGCCCCACGGTACACGCAGTGCTGAGGGCCGTGGACTCAGAAGCCAACGTCCGCGTCGACATCAGCATCACACGCCTCACTCGCTGTGCTGACCTCGTTCAGCAACAAGAGTCTCGATCTCTGGGTGGCTTAGTGGCCGCATCTGTAAAACGGGCCCGTTTGGGTGGCTGTGGTGCAGTGGTGGTGGTAGGACTGAAAGGGAGTCCCGGTGAGGAGACCTGGTGGCACAGTGGTTACCTGTAAGGCTGGTCACTACAGGGTCAGCAGTTCGAAGCCACCAGCTGCTCCTCGGGGAAAAGATGGGGCTTTCTACTCCTGCAAAGAGTTACAGTCTGGGACACCCACAAGGGCAGTTCTTCCCTGACCTACGGGGACCTTATGAGTTGGAATCAACTTGACAGCAAGGACTTAGGGATTTGGGTTGGGGGGGCGGGGTGCCGATGGCTCAGACTCACCTGACTGCTAAACAAAAGGAGATGCCACAGAAAAAAGTGCTGGCGATCCCTACTTCTGCAAACTTGGCTATGGACAGCCCCGTGAAGTGCAGCTCTCTAACATGGGCTAGAAGCCACCGCCGCGGTCTGGGGACGGACCAAAGGAGGCCCTAAGTTCCTGGTACAGAACAGTAAACTCCTAAACTGAGGCAGGCCAACTGAAGGTCACACAACCCCGAAGCACCGGATTCCAGCTGGCTCAATCCAGGCCCTCAGGCCAGTGACTACCCCCACGGACCCGGCAGAGAAGCTCTGTGCGTGCAGCCTGCTGAGCCGAGAGTCTGGAAGCAGTGCCTGCAGCAGGAGTGGAGCTGGTGGAGCGGGCCAGGCCTCAGCTGGGCTGGGACCCAAGTGTAGCAGCACCTGTTGTTGGATGGTGAGTTAGTTAATTGTGCCAGCCTGGCCGATAATCACATGTGGGGCTAATTGAAAGGCGGAGGGATAAATGGGTGGTGAAGCCTCGCCTTTCTAG